CGTAGAAAGTATTGGCCAACCATTCACCAAGATTCTCACAAATTTGCCAAATCATGTGATAGGTGCCAACGAGATGGAAGAATCTCGAATAGGCCAGAGTGTCAATGCGTTCTTGAAAAAGAATATCTTCTCTAGATTTGGCACACCTAGGACCATTATTAGTGATAGTGGCTCTCACTTTTGTAAGGAGTTGTTAAAGGGGCTATTGGAGAAATATGGGTTCGCCATAAAGTGGCTAATGCTTATCATTAACAGACTAGCAAGATAGTTGAGGTGTTCAACCAACAAATCAAGCAAATTCTAGCAAAAACGGTGAATGATAATCGACGGATTGGTCAAGGAGGCTTGATCATGCTCTTTGGGCCTACCGAATTGCATACAAGACTCCCATATGTATGTCTCCAAAAAAACTTGTATAAGGGAAGGCCTATAACTTGCCAGTTGATTTAGAGTAAAAGACACGTGGGCAATGAAGTAACTGAAGATGGGTTGGAATGAAGCAGAGGAACAATGACTAAATGGGTCGAATGAGCTTCATTAGTTTTGCCTCAAAGCCTATGAAAGTTTATACATCTACAAAGAAAAGATGAAGAAGTACAATGACCAAAGTATTGAAAAGCGAGAATTTGCGGTTGGCAATTTGGTGCTTCTATTCAACTCTAGGCTACACTTGTTTCCGGGAAAACTCAAGTCCAAGTGAAAAGGGCCATTCCTCATCACCAAAGTGTTTTCACACGGAGCGGTTGAGTTTGAGAATAAGGAGGGTGCAAAGTTCATAGTCAACGAGAAAAGGATTAAGATCCCCCTAGGGCATGCGGATATTGTCCACGAAGTTGTTGAGGCCTATCACCTTGATGAAGTCTGAGTAATCAAGGAGACTGCGTTGTGCAGGGATGTTAAATTAAGCGCTTCTTGGGAGGCAACCCAAGGTGTATCCTCTAGCCTACGATAGGTTTTGATTTCTTTATAGGAATAGTCGTATTTTCATATCTCGTTATGTTTTTAATCTCATTTAGTTCTTGTGATAATAGTAGTGTTGGCTAGAGAGTAGTGTAGGGTCCGTCTCAAAGTGTCTAGAAAAACACAAAAGAATAGCCTAATCTTCTGAAAAATAGTCTGGTGCACGGGTCTACGGACCTCATCAACAGGCCGTCATTCAATCGATGAAACGTCGATGGTGTCGTACTTCCCAACTATGTCCTCTAAATTTTCTAAGTCTAGATATAAATGAAGGTCCCAATCGGTGGACCGTTGATGGGGTTTCGTAGGTCGGCCCGACCTGACTCGGACGGTAATAATAAATAAAATAATCGTTTATATTAATTCCCACCTTCAAATTCTTTTAAAATTACCTACCTAAACTGTTTTTCTTCCATTACTTCCTTCCTTTATCACCAACCATTACACACTTATCTTCAATATCACTCCAAATTCATAATTCCTAAAATTCCCCAAACTCTCTGTTCCCAAATTCTCTTAATTCTCCACTGTTCTTCAACCAGTGATCAAATTTCAGGTGCGCAGGCTACTGTTCAAAGTTCATATCACAACCACGCCACTAGGAACAGAAGTTATTTTGATTTCTTTTACACTTTGAATTGTCGTTACTAGTTGTTTACAAAAATTCAAATGTGGTTCTTGACTAAGGGACTAATTTAATTGATATTGTATGCTAAAAATTCATGTATTACGTCCCTCGGAATGAAAGAATGTTGTTGTATCTCTTGTTAGTCGGCCTAAGATGTGACTTTCTCTGTAGTTTTAGAATTCTGACTTAAGGTTCATAGTTTTGATGAATTAGAATACAAATTATGTGAAATCAAAACTCTAAGAATGACAAATACATTTTTGTGGGTGTTATAATGCTTGTCTACGCTTGAGTGGGTCCAGAAATTGTCCAAAAAGTTGATCTTGCAAAAAGTCCTAAAGTTTGTCTCCGGCCAACAGTACGAGACCCCATCAATGGGCCGTCGATGGGGTCCGTCAATGGGATCCACACTTTAATTATTGAAGCCTAAAATTACAAAAGTGGACTATGGTCCATCAATTTTTGCACATTCGTCCTTTCATTCAGAGAACCTGTTTTCACAAATCGTAAAATCATTCCAAGTGTTAGACGACGGAAGTTGATTGCTGTTCATTGACTCATTAACGGGTTGTTCTGCACGTCCCTTTTTTTGATTATAGAGGTCTAATATTTTTCATTAAGTTAAACAATTCTAAGTATACAACGATGGACCGTATAGATGGACCGTTGATAGTGCCCGTCGACCTGAAGTTGGAGAACTGAATTGTGTAATACTTTTTTCTTCGCTCTGATTGCTTCTAGTATGTAGTATTGTAGAAGTGAGAATAAAAAGTACTCTACAGGTATGGATCCTAAACAGGATATCATCTACTCATGGAGCAAGTCTTAGTCTGTGGCCTCATCTCGTCGGATGGTTGCTAACTCCGACAATGAGCAAGATCTGTAATACATTCCACCGGGTGCCACCACATATTCATGTCAAGAGGCATTGTTCTAGTTGCACTACAGATGCAGGAGATGATGCTCGTGCGAGGAAGAAAGAAAGTACGAACCTCAAGGCTTCTAGAAGGGTTTCGTTGGCACATGAGGAGGCCCACCAAATTAGTGCACGAGAGATGGATTTTGGGGCGTCTAGCTCCATACAGGTGATCGGTGAGAGGATCACCACTGATGATGCAGAGATTGCTGTGGGCACCATTGAGGGTGACCCAAGCACTGATGTACGGGTTCTAGGAAACCGGACTTGATCACTTGTTGAGAGATTCTGGACACTATGTGCCTCAGGTTTTCTTCACCTACCACCATGTACTTATGTTTTTTTATGCATTGGGGACAATGCCATGCTCGTTTTTTTGGGGGTGTAGTAGATGGAAAGTGAGTGTTAAGGTGAAGTCTGAGTAACCCAATTCACTATCCTCTCTTGGGGGTTTTCTTGCCTGTGTTCTTTTGTCCCCCAAAAGACTGGTTAATTTCTGTTGAAACGACATGTTGTTATTTCTACATAAAAATAAAAACATGAAAGATGAAGCATGATGGCTGAAATTAAAAGATATACCATCGTAGAAATTCCTTCCATGAATAGGAGAAAATAAGTTGAATGTGTTTGATCTAAGCATGACATAGATAGGCGCCCACTGCATAACCCTCAACTAACACCTAAATTGAGAACTCTAACACTCTGATAGTGTAATGAGGTGTCAAGAGAGTGTGAGGAATTTGGAGTGTTCAACAGTTGGTGCCTACCTAAAATTTGCTTGGTTAGTCCTGCAAAGGGAATCTGTGTTAGAATACTAGGAAAGGATCATTGCCCCTTGTTCAAATTATCAAACATATAACCTTCTATGAAGTTAACCAAATCGTAATCTTTCTCCCTTTTTGATCCAAATCGGTTTAGCATATAATAGACCTAATTTTTTCTCACCAACTCACCTTCGCAGGGTTTAATGTTTCTGCCCCAGTCCATCCTTAGACATGTGCACCTCGACTTACACCAAAAGCCTAAGTTGAGGGTGGCTAATGTAGAAAATGACATCATCTTGTCCCTGACCCGACCTCGGGTATTGTGTACCTCAACTCATGGAAAAGCCATGATTTGAGGGTGGATATTTTGAGTGAGAATCTAAATGGGTATGAAAAGTGTTGGATGCTGAAAAGAAAAGAGAAAGTGAGAGAAATATGTGACCAGATGAAATTATCAATGGGAGTGAAAGAGAAAATTAAAGTAAAAGAAAAAAAAAGAAAAGAGTTTGGAAAAGTTAAAAAATATATATGAGTGATAGCCAAAAAAAAGGAGCAAATAAAATATGAGACGCAAAGAAAAGTAGGGTGTAAAAGGCAATGAAAAGAGGTAGGAAGCTTAGAGAAAATGTATAGGAGGGCGTAAAGTAACTAAAAATATACCCAAATGTACCACACCTGACCCTGAGCGTACGTTTCGAATGTGGTAAACTTAAGCAGTGAAAATTAGGGAAATTCTACGGTGACAAGTACTAGCTATGTATAATCTTTTTTTCCAGTGTGAGTGTTGAATAAATATCCTTGTACCTGATAGGCTCAAATTTATTTCTCAAAAAGAAGTAAAATCGGTCGCATCAAGTAAAGAACCCAACTAGTGAGGTTTGAATCGTTCCCATGAGGAAAATGGTTCATACTTAAATTTATTCTATTAATACTTCTATTTATTCAATTATTTCCCAAAAACAAATAACTAAAGGGGGTTTTGATAAATAAAAGCAATTTGCTAAATTAAAATAAACAAGTGACAGGTTCAAGTATTAGAATTTAATTAAATAATGATAGTAACTAGTGCGTATGTGTTAACCACAAGCTCGTAACTCAGTAATTCAAGTTATAACAATTCTTTTCTAGTATCTTGCATGTAAAGTGATAAGTTAAGTATCTCTATATCCTTGGTCTGACATCTAGAGAATTTCACTCCGCACCTTGGTCCGACTTCGTGTGTTGCTTTACTAAATCTTATATTTACCACATATTAAGCATCATATTCAATATTTGACTAAGTTGTTACTTCGTTCCAACTGACACTTGCCTATTAGAAGTACACACTAAATCAATGGTGATAATTCTATTCCTATTATCTACCTCTTTGGTCTGGCAAGTAGCAATAAGGCGAGTTCTAACATTGGTCATTCGTTAAAAAGAATTCTAAGCAAAACAATTAGCAATACATGCAAGGCACTATTCTTGAATTGTAATTTTAGCTAGATTTTACCTTGTTACTTACCCATGGTTCCCACAACCCTAGTTATGGAGTTTAGTTACCCATGCTAATAATCACACAATTCATATTGATGACAAAAAAAACCATGCACTTACTTTTCTGAGAATGAAGAAAATCAGAAAATTCACTTGAATAATTCACAAAAACACTAACAACTAATTCTGGAAAAGTATGATCAAATACCAAAATCAAGAGTTCAATACTTAAACAAGAGAACTAAATAATATCCAAAAGTCTTACCTTAAAAATGAGGTTTTTTTAAAACTATTTATAATAAAATAAAACATAATAAAAGAAGGACTCTATTTAAGGAAAATCTGTCCAAACCGCGTCTGAATCAACGATCCCTGCAATGGACCGTTACTGACACGATGGACCATCGTGGGCTCCGTCATTCCATACTTTGCAAAATTTTCTACTACTTTCTTCATCAACTTTTTGTTACCCTCGACGGACAGTTATGAAGGACCATTGCAAGCACGACGGTCCGTCGAGGGGTTCTATTCCACAACACTTAGAAACTTCTCAAAATTGGATACTGGAACTACTCTCTGGCAACCACGACGAATATGCAGGACAGATGGTCATGGCTATGACGGTCCTTCATGAGCTTCCGTAGTCCCACACTTGGTTAGACTTCTCCAACTTCCTTCAGCAGCCATTTTCTTCTAACTACGGTGCTACCTACGGATCGTAACAGTCACGATGGATCATCCTGGGCTCCGTAGGTGGTCAGTTCTACAGATTCTGCTCATATCCTCCGCATTCTCCTTTGGACAGATTTTCTGCAAATAAAGAGAAACGTACATTAAAAATCAATACAAAAAGGCTTTAGAAACACACTAAACTTAAGGAAAAGACATTGAAAGTACTGTGAAACCAAGGTACATCAGTACCAAAACTTTAAATCGGCAAAATAATGAGGATTTCTTTTGAAGTTAGGGAACTAGTTGCAATGTCGGAAAGTTGGTTCCTTGGTTAGGCAAAATAGTAGAAGTGTTTGTTAAGGGTGAGCTCGTGTCAATAGTGTGATCTTCATGAGTTAGATTTTTCAAACATGAGAGCATAAGCATGTACTAAATCAAAGAAAGAGTCGGGATTGATAGTTGATTGTGAAGCTTAATAGAATATACTTTTGTAACAAGTGTGGTTTTGAATCATAGTGTACAATTGAGGACAAAAAATGAATTTAAGTTGAGGGTGTGTCATGTTTTCACGGTGCTTTCAATTCTTTTCTATTAAGAGTTGTGTGTGTCTAGAGCCTTTTTGTAGTAGTTTTAACATGTTTTTATGTTTTTTTGTAGGAAAGATGTTCATAGTAAAAACGCCTAAGACAGAGAAAATATTGCAGAAAGACGACCTACGAAGGCCATCGACGACCCTTCATTCAATCGACGGTTTGTAGGTGGTGACTGTCAATTGAAGTTCAACTGATGGAGAAACTCGGGGAAATCTTACAAAGTGTAGAACTACGGAAGGGATCGTTAGTAAACTATTGATATGATCATGGATAGTTTAAGTACCTGAAGTTGGAGAAATTCTAATGATGGAGCGACGGAGGGCATCGATGGACTATATTGTTGGTCCATCGATCGATTCAGATTGGATTCCATTTGAAGGAGAGAAAAATATTCTATGTCTGAACTGACGCACGCAGTCACGATGGTCCGTAAGTATGGGTCGTCGATCAATGCTGCTTTTTTTGGACAAAATTTCCATATTTCAATTCCTTTTAATTTAGGACAATGTTTTCTATATAAAGGGTTTAAAACCTCATTTTGGAGTTAGACATTTTTAGTATTGTTCTTGTGTTGTTTTGAGCTTGGTTTTTGCAAACTTTAACCATAATTCAATTTCCGGATTTGTTTTGAACATTTATCTTGCAATTTCAAAAAGATTTTCTTGGTGTATTATTATTGTTGAAGTAAGTTCATGATTTCTTCCTTAAAAATTATGAATTGTGATCTTGCTTGCATGGGTAGCAAAATCCAAAACTAGAATTGTAGGAACCATGGGTAATTAACAAAGTAAACCTAGAAAATAAGCAATTCTCAAATAGGTTGTTGCATTTATTGATAATTCTTTAAATTAGAAGTCTTTTTAACACTGGCCAACATTAGAAATCATCTTGTTGCTACCTGTCGGACCAAGGAGGTAGTAATAGGAAAATAATTATCAACATAGATTTAGTGGGATACTATCTAATAGGCTACTGTCGATTGATGCAAAGTAATAATTAAGACAAACATCCATTATGATGTCTAATATGAAATAAGGTTAAGGGTTAGTAAATTATGCACACGTAGTCGGACCAAGGTACGGGGTGAAATTATCTAGATGTCAGACCAATGATTTAGAGATATATAACTTACCACTTTACATGCAAAACACTATGGAAGATTTTTTATTTCTAGGGATACGACGTTATAAACCTACGGGGAACACATATACCATAGTTTGTCTCAAAACTTGATAAAAACTCACTTTTAACTTTCGTTCACTTGTTAGCTTAGAAGTGTTTAATAAACTTGTTTCACATCACCACCACCACCACCCCCTTTTAGTTACATGTTTTTGAAAAATCCTTGGATAAATACACACAATTGTATATTGAAGTTAAGTCTAAATCATTTTTCTCGTGGGATCGATCCCCACCTACTATTTGGGTTCTTTACTTGATTATGACCGCTTATACTTCTTTAGGGAGGTTTAATTTGAGCGTATTGGTTGCGTGATTTGATTAGAAAAATGTTGCATGGACATTTCTCTTATTTTCCAATGTCTTCACAACATTTTGAGAGAAAATTTTATGATAATATAGCTGAAATGATTCCAAAATGAGTGGATGGAATTTGAATAGTTTCTTGGTAGAAAACTTTAATTTTTTCACCTATTAGGAGTTGAATGCTAGGGCCTTCTTTAGATATTCTTGTACTCTAGAAACACTAATCTCAAGAAAATTTTGTTAAAAATGAAGTTTTAGGGAAAAAGACACCATGATCATGCCCTGATGTTTGACCCGGATGAAGGCCGCTCTAGCGGACTCCATCCTATGGTGGAGGCCTTCATCCTTCTATGGCAAACTTCATCTTGTAGGGCGGAACCGTTGTGTCGGGATATTGTAAAATAATGGCCTCTTGCCACTTCTAATAGAAAATATTCCTTCCTTACCCCCGTATTGAATAATTTAATGGTGTTTTAATGTGTACATTTTATGATTTTGGAGGCTTGTATAACCGTGGTGAGAATAAATGAAGAAAACTTCCCTTTGTTCGATTCCCCGATGTTACAAATCGGGGCAGACACCATAATCATGGGAACACAAAATTTTTGTGTGAGAATGGTTTCCACAAGGTGGGTTTAGCGGAGAAAGCACCCGGTTTCCATGCCCAATGGATGGAGTATGGTTGAGGTTGATGACAGAGGCTGGTTACGAGAGTTTTATGCACTACTACCTATCATCCGCTGGGACGATCCTCACCCTAAAATCTACGTATGAGGAGTTGAATCTTTTTGAGCACTCAATTCATTAATTAGGTGCTCGAGGTCTCTAACTTAGAGAACGAGACCAGACTAAGGGAGATGAATTTAAGTTTGATGCACGACATACTCGGCGAGGATTTGCGCCGGGAGCACGTTTATTGGGATACTATAGAGGGCATAACAAGTACTCATTTGTCATCGGATGTCAAGAGCTAGTTGCACCTAGTATCTAGGAGGATCCACCCGTCGGCAACCACATATACGTGACCTTCCATCGGGCTCTAGTGATGGCTTGGGCTGCGTAGGGAATTGGGCTGAATATGGGGGAATAGATTGTGTTCGAGTGGAAGATATCCTACAGAGGAAACAAGAAGAATTTCTTTCTACTTAGAATAGAGAAAACGATGTGCAAGCGGGTTGGGGTGCCACTCTTTTTCACTAATAAGGAACTTACATATAGATCCCTCTTTTCATCTTCTTTTGATTAGGCAGCCTCCACCTTGATTTAATCAAGAAATAAAGGTGGATGGGGCCATCACTATCAAAACAACGGATGAGGCAGACGACGAGGGAGAGGGTGATGATGAGGTCAACGATGTCCTTCGTACGCCGTTTGAGCCCCACTATCAGGCGCTCATGTGGAGAAGAACGTGGAAGTCGTCCGAAAGAGATTATGATGCTCTTATGCTAATGCCTCAACTCTAATTCCACCCTCCAAATCCCTTGAGGTTGATATTCTCTACCACGAACTAAGATAGAAGAATAAAAATAATATAGAAAGGGACCGCCTGATTGTTCGAATGTGGGAGGCCATTAAAGTCATTTTCTATAACGTCATCGTTAGAGGGAGCGTCCTAGGCTTAAGCCGGATGACTTTGAGAAGTTCACCTAGATTCAGATTATAAAACTCCCCCTCCACATGGTCCTTGATTAGAGTTTGCATTGCTAAGGCATGTAACAAATAATATTTCTACTTTTTTAAAAGTTTTTTTAAGCACATGGATGCTTTTTTTGCTATTTTCATAGTCGTAATAAAATCTTAGGTGATTATAACTTACTATTCTATTAGAGTACTGATTGGACTGCGGAAATTAGCATGTGCACGATTCGAAGCCCATACACAAAACAAAGGAAGAACAGGGAAGGCAGGGCTGGGATTTTTTCTTGCTATCTCCTACTCTGGTAGTCTCGCCCTGGAGTGGCCATGACGAGATTAGTTTTTGGACAATATTTCTTGGGGTTTCTCCCTGTTTCTAAAGTTTTTCATTTGCTCACAGGGCCATAGTTAAGCATTTAGGATATCCCTGTTAGCTAAGATAGAGATTTTTCAACCTCGAGATCAACCTAGCGGTGTACAGTAAAGCTTTTCCTACTAATTTAACACCACAAACATGCAGGTCCTAAGTATATTACTATGAATCACAGGGTTTAGAAGTGGTTGCGACATACGTCAAGGGAATCTTTCACGATAGGAAATTCCACTATTATGCAATAATATCTCCTTTTCTGATATGGTTCCCGACCAATCCCAACTCTGGTGAAACAGGATTTCCTCTACAATGACAAATCATTCTTTTCCTTAACCATCTTTAGCAATAGTAAGTTTATGCACAAATAATAGTTGCATTTCCTCTAATAAGTATATCGTATAACACGTCCAGAATCAATTTACGATTTAGATCGTAGCTTATCTCTAGACCTTTGCACATAACCAAGTGATGAATCTCTCTCTGACAACAAGTTCACAAAAGCCCAAGCAATCATTACTCACATAATTTCAAATAGTTAGGCAAGCCAGACTACACACACCAACAATTATTCTGTCAATTTCAAGCTACACCACACTGGAAATTCCAAATTCTTACTTAATTCATTTCATGGGTGACCATTAGCTCATCATTCATAAATTCATACAACCTCTAAGGCCAGATACCAATTGGAACCTTCTCAGTTCCAATTTTCCTTGCTTGTGTCCCTTCAGCCGCGACTACGACATCCAACTCACTTTGTTGAGATACCAATAGGATTCAATTCACATCACAAGCAAAAACCTGCACGGAAGGAGAGAAGAAATAAAACGACTTCGTAGAATGCCTCTTAGCTTCTTGGAGATTAGATGTGAACGTCAATGCACTAATCCACAAGAGTCTACTTCACATTTGCTCTTGTACTAGAGACTGACAACCTTGGATCTGATACCATTTTGTTATGACCCAACCCACTTGTTCATGCGCGCACCTACTCTAAAACCTAAGTAGGAGGATCCTCTATCCCCAAGCGATTAAAAACAAGCAGAAGATAAAGAAAACTGGAGACAAAAGAAAATTCATGAGATATGTACATAAATAAGAGTTCAAAAAATCCAAAGTTAAATTTGTAAAATAAATTTAACTCCCCCATGGATCTAATCTAAAAAGTTACAAGTGCTTCGAAGATCTTCGAGTATAAAATACAGTAACTAATGAAATAGCTTCCACCACAGGGAAGGAAGAGTAGAAGTTGTTGGAGATAGTCTTTTTCGTCTTCACTTATGAAATATCACTGACCATGCAACCAAACTATTCCAAAAGACATAACAAAAGTATAATTAGTACAAAGTACATGTACTAGTAGGCATCATCAATTTACCCATTACCCACTACATATTATAAAAAAATCAACTAAACAATATAGAAGTATACCCCTCAACCTTTATCCCCCTGCCTTTAACATTCTTGTATACCTTAAAGATACTAGTACACTTGATCTAACCCTCTACTTTATCACACTGATCGCTTGTTGAATCCTAGCTTAATCATTCTATCTCATTAAGTATCTCTTGAATACAACCATTACAAACCCGACCAACCACTTATGACATACCCTTACTTCTTCTGCATCACCATTTCTCCCTTGACCACATGGCATACTCTATCGAGACTAGCTCATCTTTTCGAATACGAATCCCCTTTCTAAGGTAGGACTTAACTAATTTTTGCACCATGAACACTACCCCACTTCTCATTATTTATGAACACATGCAGTTTCTCAAAAGATAGTTATTCGTAGCACCAAAACCCTCAGTATCGATATATCAGACAACATACATACAGATTGGGCATGATTGTTCATGGCTAGTTCCAGTAAATGTGATATAATAAGCAATTACAACATCGTAAGGACACATATACAAGGAACATAATTCAATTATCATTTAGGAGAAATGTATAGTTCATAATAGGTAGATATGAATGTAGTAGTCATAAATGATTCTTTCATGGAACCCACATCTAAATTGTTAGTGTGTCGGAATGTGACACCCGATCAAATATATATTTGTCAGAATGTGACACCCGGTCTAATATATTATCGAAACATGACACCCGATCTAGTATATGTGCTGAAATGTGACACTCAATCCAATATATGTTTTGGAACGTGATACTAGGTCAAGTCAAGACAACCACAACTATAATCACACACTCAAGTAATAAGTCTATGGAATGTAGTTGTTCATACTTAGTCGTTTCGTTAGGTTTGATTCATGTTTCTCTATTCTCATACATGCACACATACAATGGAACCATTATCAAACATATATAACACAACGGATAAGTCGAACCAACACCTAACCCTAGTTCACAAGATCACGCTTCGCCCCATGATACAAATCATACTTAACAACTAGGCGTACATGTAAAATCGTCACTTTTTTCATGCTCAAATTCCTAAACATGAATTCTACCATCAATTAGTAATATATTATGTAGTGAGCACGAATTTAAAAAAACTCAAGTAAGTAAACCTAGCCTACCTTAGTCGAGAATCAGTGAGTTGTGTCGACGTTATGCTAGAAATCTATTTCTCCTTTCTTCCCAAGCCTAGAGCATCATTTTGAGGCCTTCTGAGGTGATTTTTGCCTCTTTTGGGCACTTAGTGAATAATTAAGAAAGAAGACTTTGCATCATTAAGTTGTGCCCTAACATTCCCGCTCTGGCGCTCCTATCCAGCTAGTGCCCCGTCGTCGTAGCATCATCACCCCAATCTGGTGCGACAGTGGTCCCCAACTACTCACGGTGTTTTTTGTTCATAAGTAACGATGGTTCGAGTTGTAACATAAATTCCTTGTGGGTCGACTTCAACTCCAATTGAATTTTATACTTGACTTCAACAATGGTAATTCATAATTGAGGTGTACGTTTGGACGTATCAATCATTCAAGGACAACTACAAACAAGTAATCTGGATTAAACACTCATAGACCATGAAAATAGATATTAATAAAGATGGAAAAATGGATAAATAATGAAGAGGTTGCACTTTGGCAAAAAGCTAGAGTAATTTAAATTGCGTATTGGGACTGACATTCCAAGTACTTCCATGCCCAGTGGAAGATAAGAATTAGCCACAACACTATTTCTTCCATTTACACTGAATATGAAATAAAGTTGCAGAACCACTACGTATTAAATTTGAGTTTATCTATGTCTTTAAGGATTTGATGGTGAATAAAGCTACTGAATTGAGATATTTCAATAATGATGTGGTTAGAGGTGGACCATGTGTCTCTATCATTCAACAAATAGAGATCATTAAAGTGGCCACTACTGATAAGATAATGGAGGCCATTAAAGATAATACCCAAAGACAAAGCACTAAAAGTTGATGGATTCCCAATTGAATTTTTTTACTAAGAACTGAGAGTAGTTTAAAAAAAATATGTCATTATAATTGTAGGACATTTCTATCAATATGGTAGTCTATGACCTGCTATTAATTCTACATCAGTAACTTCAAATCCAAAAGTTAAAGCTCCAATAATGGTTAAAGATTACATAACCATTGCTTGTTCCATTACATTATACAAATCTAAGGTTCTACCAAGAAGAAGAAAGCTTGTGATTTGTGGATTGGTTGTAAAAGCTCAATAAAATTTTGTGGAGGGTAGAAGTACAGGTTATAACATTATGTAAGTTATGAAATATTCAAGAGCTAAAACAGAAAAGGGAAATAAGCTAGATGTCTACTCAAGCTGGATCTAAAGAATGCCTATGACACCTTGGAATTGGGATTCTTAGTGAAGTTCTTATGTGATCTGGGTTCCTTGAAAAAATTTTTCATTGGATCATCTTGTGTGTTTCCACAATGTCATATTCATTTCTCTTGAATGGAAGGATTATTAACACATTTAAAGGACAGAGAGGGATTATACAAAGGGATTTTATGTCCCCCGATATCTTTGTCTTGGCTATAGAATACTTGGGAGATAATTCAAACAAATGGAAAAAAATGTATCACTATCATCCCAAGTTTGAAAGATTTAATAGCATCCACATTTTTTTTCTTGGTGACTTGTTGATGTACTGAAGGACTGAAATAATGGTTGTCACCTAATGAATGTTGCCTTCATGAAATTCTTTGAGGCATATAGACACAACAAAGCATTGTAGATGCCTTGGAATTCAATGTGGGAACTTTGCCACTCAGATACCTAGATGTGCCTCTAGCATCGAAAAAATTGGGAGTCAATACATACCTTCCCTTGATTAAGAAGATCACGACTAAAATCAAATGTTGTTCAGCCAAGTTACTATCATATGCACGAAGGATACAACTAATTAAAGCAAATATTATTTGAAGTGCATGCTTATTGAGCTCTAATATTTCTCATCTCTTAGAAAGCCATCAAGGCACTTGAACAACTTTGTAGGACTTTGTTGTGGTGCGTGACAGTCTCAAAGAAATCTCTAGTTTCTTGGACAAAAATATGTATACCAAGGTTTGTAAGTGGACACATTAATGTAACAAATCTATTCACCTAGAATTCTGTAGCAATCCTTAATCTCCTATGGGATTGCATATGGCTTCAATGGGTCCACAACTACTACATCAAGCAGGGAGACATAAGCTAAATCTAGATACCTAAGAATGCTTCATGGCAGGTGAGGAAGGTTCTAGAGTCTAGAGATCAATAAATAATTGGGAAATATAGTCATGAGAAAATAAAAAAACAACTTAATAGAGTTCAACTTAGAGAAAAGTTACTCAACTCATAAGATATATATCTCTTCTCTGCCTCTCCACCCTAAAGTCCCTTGAAAATACTTAAACATGTATCCAAGAATACATCCTAGACATAGATTTATTCTTTGGTCGGCTATACAGAAGAGACTTGCAACAACTGCAGATGTTTGGAATAAATATACCCCTTGATTGTTTTTTATTTTGTTGATAACACACAAAGACTTTTTCATATTTATTCTTTGAGTGTAGAGTAACCAGTAGCATATGAGTTTTTTATTACAGTGGTTGGGTCGTAAATCGCAAATAAGGAGCTTGGATGACGAAGTTCAATGGATGAACCGAATTGCAAAGAAAATAGGTGGTTTCGCAGAGATAACAAGTTGTGCATTTGAATTAGGTGTGAATATCCTGTGGCCAGCTTGAAACTATATATTTTCGATTTCAAAGGTGATCCTTTCACTATGAATTGACGATTAATGATATTGTGTTACATATACACATTAAAGGAAGAAACAATGCGGCATGAAGAGTATCATTGAATGTGATCTCAAAATTATTTTTCAAGTATATATTCAATAAATTTCAATAATATAATTTCATATCAATTAATCAGCCCCCCTTTTAATTTATACTAGCTACGGTCTATATTAAAGTGTCATACTCTAGTAGGTGCAGTATAGATCATTTGAGGATCATGATATCAAATAGTATATATCTTATTACTGCTGAAGTGTAGATGTAGCCGTTAAAGTATACACCAAGAACATGAACAAGTATCGACTTTCTTAATTATCTATATATTTTGATCAGCATTGACAATACTCAATTATTCAAATTTTACAATGGTAACGAAGTATAAAATGATACTTTTGCAATGGTAACATTTGTTTTGTCAGTGTATAAAAAGCAGGATTCATGAACTCGTCCATCTTATTCTATTTTAAAATACTTGAACATCTTTTCTAATTATGTCTCAAGCATGTCACACATCTAATTTTAAAAAGACTTATGTTTGTTGTGGTAATTTAGAAATTTTAAGGACTTCACACACCGATACAAAACCAAGTCGATAATTCTTTAATTGTGAAATTGGTGCGTGCTCTTTTTATAAGTGGCTTGAGAATTATTCATCAACGAGCAGCCCATCAAAATTGAGACTGGGATTCTAGACAGCAAATTTTCAAGGCGTTACCAAATTTCAGATATTAGAAAAGCTTCAAAAATCCAAAGAAAATAATTATTTGCTATTGACTTTCTACAAAGAAGTCGAAGAACAAAGGAATCACTTTAAAGGATTGGCAAAAGACACCGAAAAAGAAAGGGTTCAACTAAAACAAAGGTGACTCAAGAAAAAGAGAAGGGCCTAAAAATAATGTTGTATGGTCTGTTGTCAGTGGTTGATTTTTAGAAATGAGTAACGGGGATGGAATATTACAATCTTATATCTTTTACTCATGTAGTATTACGGTTTATTAATAAAATGAAGTACTTCTTATATATATACATTTTCATGTTGATAACTGACAACAATATCCATCAAAACGAAAATAACATTTACATCATTCAACTTTTTAAAAAGGCACTTCAACAATCAATTGTTTTAATATTCAACCACCACAAATTGATTTGTCTAAAAAAGACAACTGTCTTAGTCATCAAAAACCACTTATATAAACAACCAACTTTCTTAATAGTCGACCACCAAAATACAACCATTTCAATCCCCCAAAATCTTTATCATCGACCACAAAAAACCAACCATTTCAAAATTCAATGTCTTAAAATCCAATTGAAAACAAATAGTCTTAATCACCATTGAGCTCCATAACAATTCCCATCACATCCTCTTTAATTCCTTCTTCTATCTCCGTCTCCTCTTTTTTTTTCTTGATCTTTTACGTGATTCTCCTCTTCTTTTTCTTTGTCTTCTAGCTGCTTCTCCTCTTTTTTTTCTTGATCTTCTACCTCATTGTTCTCTTCTTTTTCTTCTTCTATCTTTTTTTGCTCTTCTTTTTCTTCTTCTACCTGCTTATCCTCTTATTTTTCTTCTTCTTTATTTTGTTCAATCTTTGCTTCTTTGTGGTCTTCTTCTTGCTTCTTTTCTATATTTTCTTCTTTTTCTTCAATATTCTCCTCCTCTTGTTTGTTTTCTTGCATCTTCTTCTCCTCTTGTTCTTTCTCTCTTTCTTTCATTCGTCTAAAACTTCATTGACTTCTTCTCTGAAGTGCTCATCAACTGCAATGAGATCTTCATTGACCATTGCTAATGGAAGGACTTCATCTACATCAGCAACATCACTATCATTATCAACTGTTGGTGATGTATTGTCTTCATTAACTGCCGGTAAATACATAGCTTAGCATTCTTACAAATATATTATTTTACAAAATCTATATAAATTAGTCTACCGTCATTTTTCTTTTTCTTTTGAGCTCTCCTCAATTAGTCATCTCGTATGAAAACGACAACTTTCATCATTGATAGTTTAAGAGATAAAACACACTAACATAAATGATCATTTTTATAATTCTGTCCATTAAAAACAGAATTATCATAAGGCTGGTTGGAATTGTTCTTACCCAATATTTGATCCTCCTCTTTCTCTACTACAATAGTCAGGACAGTAGCACCTTTCAACTTGGCCTTAAAGGCATTAATGGTTGTGTCATTGACTTCGTCCGTACATGTCTTTAATGTTGCTTATAATTTTGTTTTGTTTCACAAACAGTAGGTATAAGGTATGGATGCACGATATACAAAAAAATAATATAAATTTATATCTTTGTACTTCTCCCTCTATACTTAAATAGATGACCTTCGACAACATTATCGCTCTTTGTTGTGTGCCATCTAAGCAAACAGGAAATGGGAAGAGAAAAGTCCAATGACTTCTTTGCATACTTCTCAATATGAGGAAAAACCTCATATATCAAAACCTGAAATTAATAAAAAAACAGAGACTATCAGTACTATATATATATATATATATATATATATATATATATATATAAGAGTTTATTATAAATGAAATGCATAATTGATAATTAGTACCAGAAATGCACAAGGAAAGTCATACAAAGCATATGATGAATTCCCTCCTTTATTGTACACCTGCATGTACTTCTTCAAATCAATTTTGTTCTTCAAATAATTCAGTGTTAAATCAAAACACTCTTTCCCCACGGATAACACTTGAAAACTCTAAATTATCGACCATCATAATGTGGTTCGAATCCACAATCATAGATCGATCTTGGGCAAGAAACTAAGAGTGGACGAACCAAACTAAGGAGCACTTCATCTTCTGGTCCTTTTTCAATCTAGTACCCTTAGTCAAATACATCAACTTTGTACTACTAATATTTTTACTCTTCGTCACTTTATGGTATAATTTCTCACCTTTCTGAAGTACTCTTTTCATTATTGATTTACGGGGATATGCTGAGCAAATCATCCCCATAATCAGTGCAAACTGTTTTAAACCAAAACATCCAAGCTTATCATTCACACAAAATCATATCTCATGCAACATTTTTTTATCATTATTAACACGACGCAGCTTCTTATAATGGACCAATTGTCCATCGAACTTGTAGTACTTTGAATATGTCTTAAATGTCCAAAACAAGTAGCTTTAAATTCATTATGAACTTTTTTTGAACTAACACAGTTCTTAAATCATGATAAAGTTTCAATCTTTCTCTCGTATAAAAATCGTTGGAGAAGACCGCAATTCGTCCATCTATGTACTTAGATTAAAAGACAAACAAGAGATATATCTTTCACAGACTGGCAAGGATAAGGGATCATCATCCTCATCTCAGGTATCTCCGTTGTTTGTGCTACTCTCCTCATCTACATTATAAATTCTTTATTGACTAGATTCACTACTGTCTTCATAGTTATCGATCTCAGTCATTATATGTGAATTCGAGTTTGGCATATTCTCTTCAACTACAACTTATTTCTTTTTTGAAGATCCTTTTAAAACTTCTTCAGCCTTTATTTTATTATTTTTAGAAGGCTTAGAAACAAATCTTTTAACACTTTCGTCTCTAGTTTTAGGAGTCATGCTGTATTATATGCACAAACATATTTTTCATATTAAAAAACGACCACGAATCTATAAATACAAACAAAGTAATGCTTAACAATAATATGACAAAGTATTAGTTCCAAGAAAACTCGATAACATCATTAACCTAAACTCCATTATAGTCGACCAACATCAAGGAATTTTCAACATATAGTAAAAACTTTTAGCCCATTTGACTAGATAAACATAAAAAGTCAAAAAATTGATAAACATAAAAAATCAAATATTTCTATGCATTGTACAAAGCATAACGTCACTAATGATTCCAAATAAAAAGCATGTACTAAAACGGGTGAGATTTTGAGAATATTAAGAAAACATCTAAAATCCATGATTTTTACGACACTATCGCAAAATAAAATCAAACAGGCTAAAAGAAAATAGAAAACATGATTAAACTTACATTAGACTCTGAAAATTCAAAAGAATCTGCGAAGTAGATTGAAAAAGCTTGGACTGAACTTGAGAAGACGATTGATTAAAATAGACAAACTCGACATCGTTTTTCAGAACCAACTATAGAATCCCTTTTTTCTTTATGTTTTCGATAATGGAAGACGGAAGACGAAAGAATGAATACGAAGGATTAATAAGACAAAGGATGAACAATTTTATGAAGTTTTATAATTTCGATAAAGAATGTTGAGAAGCTTATGGAAGACGAGGAGGGTTCTTATAACGTTTTCAGAGTTTCCTCGGAAAGTGCTAACATTTTTTATTAAATAATTTTATATTCCTTGGGATTGTAATACAATTATTTGGAGGGATGAATTTATTTTATGTTGAAGTGTTGTGGATGAGAATGATATTTTATATATATGTTTTTACCCCATTTTTAAAGTGATGAAATGTCCTATGACCACAAAACCCAACCCCACTTTTTTGCCTTTTTTAACCCTTACCCTACAAATTAATTCAAAAAAATGGATATTGTGCAGATTAAGTTTTGGGAGTGTCTCCCATTCCTATTAATCTCTAGAAACTCAGCCAAAATTCATTATGAACCTCCCAAACACAAATCAAATATGCTTCTGTCTTGGAAATGATATTACAAACTCAATGAATTCATCAAAATATCCAAATAAGGACACCTTACCCGATATTGACTATAATAAATTTTAAATTAAGAATCTCTTAATTTTAAAGTAAGGATATGAAACCCATCCAAAAGTTTCAAAAACTGAACCAAACCCAAAAAACCATTCAGAATTAGTGAAATCATCAAAACTTGGAAATTACAATCCTAACTTCATTCGTGGACTAAAGTCGAATTTTAGTCTTAACTATCTCCATATTTATTTATAATGGATCAAAATAAAAAATAAAAGCCTTAAGACCCAAGCCAACAATACATCTAGACCAAAAGCACATTTCGAAGCCAAGTTAAATGTCAAAATTCTATTTCAAGATTTTTATCACCAAATATTGACTTCAGTAAACTATATTACTCTTTCAACTTTCAAAACACAAAAATCTTCCAAAACTCATCTAATTAGTT